TCACGGCATCCTACTGGGCCTCCAGAGTGGATACCTAGAGCGCTGACAACTGCTCGCCTCACGCAGCATCCAGACTTTGCAGTCTCATACTTCATATATACAACATCTGTGGTGAAAAAGACCGGCGTACCTATACGGATATTTAAACCCCCCAAAATGGCCAAACGGAAAGTAGACTTTGAAAACAGATGCTTTCAAAAGAGGTGGGAGGCGGAGTACCTGTTTGCTGACATTGACGGTAAGGCCATGTGCCTTGTTTGCGGAGCTCATGTGGCTGTACTTAAAAAGTATAACATGAGGCGGCACTATGAGACAAAACACGAGGACAAGTACAAACACATGGACATACAGCAGAAGCTAAAGAAGGTGGAAGAGTTTAAAAAGAGTCTGATGGTAAAGCAGCGTATGTCCAGAAAAGCAGCGTCACAAAGTGAGGCTGCTATGAAAGCTAGTTTTATAGTGGCAGAAAAGATTGCTAAATCAGGCCGGCCATTTACAGAGGGGGAGTTTTTGAAGTGCTGCATGATTAAAGTGTGTGAAATCTTGTGTCCAGACCAAAAGCAAGCATTTCTGAATGTAAGCCTAAGCAGAAATACTGTTGCTGGTCATATATGTGAACTTGCCACTGATTTACAAATGCAGTTATTTGAAAGAGGGAAAAATTTCATTGCATATTCCCTTGCTGTGGATTTGAGCGCTGACATTACTGGTATGGCACAGCTGACAATCTTCATTCGTGGAGTGGACTCAAGTTTATGCGTTACAGAGGAACTTTTGGATATGAGATCAATGCATGGCAATACCACTGGAAAAGACATATTTGAAGCAGTATCTAAATGCATAAATGACATGAAACTGCCCTGGGACAAACTTACGGGACTGACAACAGATGGAACACCTTCGATGTGCATGGAAGAGAGTGGATTAGTAGGAAGGATGTGTGAGAAGATGAAGAGGGAGAATTGCATAGGTGAGCTGATAGTATATCACAGCATCATACACCAGGAAACACTATGTGGCAAAGCCCTGAAGATGGAACATGTAATGTACACTGTAATACAGATAGTTAACTTTATAAGAGACAAAGGTTTAAATCAATGTCAATTTAAGTCTTTTCTGGAGGAAATATATTCTGAACTTGGTGACCTGTCCTATCACACAGAGGTGCGATGGCTCAGTCATGAAAAAGTGCTCAGATTTTTTGAGTTGCGTGAGACGATCTGTCAGTTCATGAAAAGTAAAGGAAAAGACTCCACAGTACTGCAGGATGAAAAGTGGCTGTGTGAGTTAGCTTTTCTGTGCGACATAACAAAGCATCTCACCGCACTAAACCTTCAGCTTCAGGGACGCGACTCTGTGATCACAGACATGTATGATGCAGTGAATGCCTTTCAGGTTAAGCTGAAACTCTGGGACATTCAGATGAAGCAAGGAAATTTAAGTCACTTTCCCTGTTGCCAGGCAATCCGAAACCAAGTCTCCACCACTGTGTTCTCACATACTTATTTTGGTGATAAACTGAACACGCTTCACATGGAGTTTACACGTCGCTTTGTTAAATTTGAAGGACAGAAATTCAATTTTGAACTGCTCAGCAATCCTTTTGCAATTGATGTGAGGAAAGCACCTGTAAATATCCAGATGGAGCTGATAGAACTCCAGTGTAGCAGCACACTTAAGGCAAAGTATGATTCTGTGGGGCCCCTGCATTTCAGCAGGTTCATCCCTAAAGCGATGCCCCAACTCCGGCTACAAGCTGCTCGAATGCTCTGCATGTTTGGTAGTACATATGTGTGTGAGCATGTTTTCTCTGTGATAAAGGTGAACAAAAGTGCACACAAAAGTCTTCTCACTGATGAACAATTCCACTCTATCGTAAGAGTGTCCACAGCCCAGAACTTGACCTCAAACATAGATGAACTTGTAAGCAAAAAAATAGGCCAAACATCAGCCTCGGACAAAATGGCATGAGAAAGAACTAAATAGCTTATGCTGTTTCTTTGTTTTTGCAGATTTATTTGAAATATTTGAATTGAATGTTAATCCTGTTTGACACACATCTTAGACATAATGCACTCCTCAACTAATATAATATATAGTCTTACATGCAACTGGCCCTTTGAGGGCAACCATAATACTGATATGGCCCTCAGTAAAATTGAGTTTGACACCCCTGCTGTAACGCATGCATCCACCTACCAGCACCTGCATGCTTGCACACCAATCTGAAGTCCTTCAACAGGCAGATTGTATCTGCCATGATCAGTCCTACAATCTTAAGCCTTCTAAGACAGTGGTCACCAACCAGTGGGCCAGGGACCACTGGTGGTCCGTGAGAAAATTTTGGTGGTCCGCAGAGAAATGTCACCCCCAAAGCACCCCCCAAAGCAATTAGTCCAGGCTGCATGGGAACACTAGGCTGTGCCACCCACATGGCCCGTGGGAACACAAGGCTTGCATCGTTTGCATTGCGAACACGTAGTGAGGGGAGGGGGGAAAGGATGGAGGGGGGAAACTTGCCCCACTCACCCCATGCAGCTGGCCTGGCTACCAGGCTGCTTCTTTCCGCTTCTTTCTTCTGCTTTTGGCTGCATGCAAAGAAAGCAGCAGAAGTCTCCCCCAAACTCTACCAGAAATGAGTCTTTGGGGCATCCTGCTCCAAGAGGCTGCACCGGTGCGACAAGTCTCACAAGGACTCATTTCTGGCGGAGTTTGGGGGAGAGAAAGAAAGACTTTCTGCTTCTGCTGTTTTCTTTGCATGAAGCCAAAAGTGTCTCTCCCTGGGAACAGAGCTGGAGATGGTATCCTGCAATCCCAAATAAAGCATGATCAATCGGTAGGAAAATGGGGTGGGGAATTTTCCTGCAGAATTTTTTGGGGGATTTTCCCAGGGTCTCTGGTCTGCGGGATTTAAAGTTGAGTTTGGTGGTCCCTGAGGTCCAAAAGGTTGGTGACCCCTGGTCTAAGAAGCACTTCAAGTGCAAGAGAGCAAAACGGGGTTTCCTATGTTCAGTTCCTTAATGAAGCTGCATGTGGTAAAAGGAATTGAGACAAGTGCTTTATGGGTTCCCTTATAGACTTGTTATTTCCCAACCTCAACAACTAAGATATGTAGGCTTTATATCCTAGAATTTCCCAGCCAGTAGAGGATTACCTTGCTGCAGAGAATGTTAAATACTGTTTATTAGCAAAAATACCAATAAAGGGACCCCACTACAAGATTCTTCTTTACTATCAGTTCTGATAACTTCTCTCAAAAGAAGAGAGGTAAATTGTTTCTAATTTGATTTATCAAAAGATACTAAGGTGAAAGGAATGATTATACTGCCAGTTGTGGCCATTATCTTTTTCTATCTTTTGTTCCTGGGAGCATTTTATCCAGTTGATACAATATAACAGCTCTACAATTCGTACAATGATCTGAGTTTTTACAGTAGGGTAGGATTGAGTTCTGGCTGTAGAGAATGAATCAACCCTTTTCTACCTTGCCTCAAAGTGTTTAGGTTAGAATTGCCAGTAACACTGATATTTACACTCTAGTGCATGATTATTAGGCATGTTGTATTTTGGAGGGTTAATATTATTACTAAACAACTACAGTGGCAACTGCCGGAATCCTGACATACCGTGCTCTCGGTCAATCTGAAATGTTGATAAACCTCAAACCTGAATAATTAAAGTAAAAGTGAGGTTTTGGCTTCTTTTTGTGTGCAGAATTATTGGGCAACTATTAGTATGCAGAATTATTGGACAACTAAATGAAAAATGAAAATTTGCCCATCTCACTTGTTTATTTGCATCTGTTAGGCTAATAAACATCTCAAAATCTACAAATAATTGTTCAGTGGTAGTCAGGTTTCAGCCTTCCTTACCTTGGTTATGTCTCTGAGCACTGAACACCTTGTAGTACTGGACACTACAGGAAGGTTGCAGTTCTGGAATATGACAGCACTGGAGGATAATAGGTTCCTGGTAGCTTCATGTTCGATTTCTTCTCAAATCTTTGGCAGTTAATGTGCATCTTTTTTCTCATCACATTTCTTGCGACCCTATTGACTGTTTGCATCAAAATGTTTGATGGTTCTGTGATCGTGCCCCAATACCGTAGCAATTTCAAGAGTGCTATATCCCTCTGAAATACGTTTTACAATTTTTGACTTTTCAAAGCCGGTTAAATCTCTTTTTTGACCCATTTTACCTCAGGAAAAGAAGCTGCCTAATAATTATGCACATGTTGATATAGGGTGTTGGATCTCCTTAGGCCACACCCTCCCTTATTACACAAATACACATCACCTGATATGCCTATATCCACTACCTGCTTGATCTACTTACATGGAATACCATCTCACAATTTTCACAATGAAAGACAAATTGATCTCTATCCAGGTGCTTTGATTATTGTTTCCAGAGACAGAGATGGAAAGGAACTTAAATCATAAAGAAAAAAATATATTGGTGGGATCTATATCTGGAGATAGATAATACAGTGGGTATAATTGGGCAACATTTGTGGATTCTGAGAATATACATCTTAGGTCTTTTGAAAAAAGCAAAGCTTTAAGAGAAAGCTACAGTGCCCTAGAATGAAGTTCCGGCTTCATTCAATGCTAATGGCATTTCTAGAAACAGTACCAAGGTTTTACAAATGAAATGGCAACAAATTGACTAGTGAATGTTTTAGTAGCAAGTACGCTGGCTACTGCATGATTTCTACAAAGAGAAATCAGAACTTGGTCTCACCACCTGACCAGTGGGAAATCTTCCTGTTCGTTGATAATGTGCAAAGTTAGGTGGCATCTTTTTGTTTTTCAAGAGATTCAAGTGTCAAACAATGAATGGTGATGAGGCTATCTAACCAAACCAATGCTGGTAGTTTTTAACAAGATGGGAATTCTTCCTGATAGTTACTTAATAAATACAATCTCTGAAGTTCACAATCCATGTTGGTAACAAAAGATTCTGCTACTCAAAATTAAGGAAAGAGAAGAACAGGTTTATTTAATATTTTTACTTGAACTGTTGGAACAGTGCTCTGTTTTGAAAGGTAACCAAGAAAGGAAAGCATTAATACAATTTGAAGGAGTAGCACCAATATGCATGAACACGAATTCTCCAGTATGTGCTGTTTGGTTTTTCTTAATATCTTTTAGTTTCTCACAAAGGCTATGTAATGTTCCCTGAAAATTCCAGAGTTAGCTCTGTTCTCAAAATAATCCAGATGGAAACTTCCCAATAAGGATATGGCACTGAATGCCAGAATGCAGCTCTTAAAAATTAATAGTTCCCAGACAACATGATCCTGATACCATGGAAAGTGTGCTTTAAACTTATGAGATATCATAGAAAGGGCAGATGTCAAAGGTAAACAGAGAAGACAATCAACAGAGCCAACATAGAGAGTTATTTCAGTGCTGGGTAGAAATTTGCATTGTAATAACATGCAGTTAAAAGCCATGGAATAATATATTTCAAATTGATAGACTCAGCCATCATAGTTCCAATCTAAAGTAATAGTCATCAGTGTACCATCATGCTTGTATAATTATATATTAGGAATAATTACTAGTAAATGTATGCTAACTTGAAGAAAATACTATTCTTCCATAGATAATAAAGTATACCTAAGGATGGAAAATAAAAATAACAAAACAGATCATAGAAGGGAGGTTTGCCTAGATACTATGTAGCAAATTTGTAATAATACAGGGACGCTTACTGGCACTAAACATTCTGATTATGCAGTTCCAGTTTGTAGCATCACTCAAACTAACATTAACAAAGGGAGGCTTTTTATCACCATAGTGTGCTGGGTGATATTAAACAATGTTCTTGCAAAACTGGCTCATCAATTCAAATGCTATTTCCCTTGTTAGACTCTACAGTTTAGGTCTAAGATGTCTCAGTGACATGAATACATACAATAAATTGTACTGCCCTAAGAATCATGCTACATTTGGAAGTTCCTCCCTCAGCCTTGAAGAGTGTCCAAATGGTTCATTGCCTTTATAAGTTCAGATTGTATGTTGGAGAACATAGTCATGGGCAAAATTCCATATTGTCCACATCACAATTTCCACACAACTTTTTCATGTACTTATTTAGCTTAGTTTATTTTCTTTATAACAGCTGGTTTTTCAGGAATAATTTATTTCCTGTAAAGATAGGGTAAGAAAAGAGAGAGAGCAAAACAAAACAAAACAAAACAAGGGGCTAAGAAAAGAGAGGAAACATTGCAGAGACACAATCTGAAACCCTGTCCCAGGCATTAAGTAGGCTTACATTCCTTGCAGATGTTTTTAATAGTTGTCTGTGCATAAAGAGTCGGCAGATCTGTGGATTTTTTTTTAAAATCACATCAAAACAAATCAAACTGACTTCAGTAGAGAAGGAACATACATATAAATATCTTGGAGTGCAATTCCAAGCTTCCTAATCATGGCACCTACATTTATTGGGCAAGTGTGGTTTTTCTCCTTAATTTCTGTTGAAATTGATTTTTTTATCTTGTGGGTCTGCTTCCAGTGATACCCTAAAAATCATTTAAAATCAACCTGGCTAACAAAAGCTAATAGCAAACTAGTCCATAGAACTCTATTTGGAAAGTCCGTTCATTAATATTTTAAAATGCCAGGAGTCATCTTAAAAAACATCTCTGGGACATTGGTTTTCAAGCCAGTTTTAAGTCTAGTATCCCACCCTATAGTTAAACGTATTCCTCTCAAATGTGATGTGTATCATCTCTTCAATTCTAATTCTGAAATTTCATTGAGCTTTTTACCTTGGCCAGGTTGGTTTCACTACCTTCTGCAGTGTTGAGTGATACTGGGGGTATAAAAACATCCCTTTTCAGCAGTGCTTATACTCATGTGGAAATGGCTCTCTGGAATCTGGGTTCCCCTGTTGCTTTCTATATAGGGAATCTAGGAAGACATATATTTATCTCATTTTAAAGAACTACCATAGTAGAGAGCACGATGTCTGTTAGTCACTGTTTCTAAGTGACCAGGATCATGCCATTATCTTTCTAGCTTGGTTTTGTGCAACGATTTGTTGTATCTATCTTACCTAGGATTGAAGTTTAGCACAAACTTCACTGATTGCCCCTGCCATCTGTACTACAGTTATAATGTGCCTTATGTAAATTTCATTTTTTAAAAAAGTTTGTGTATTTTATTGTGTTCTCTGGCCCAAAGGCCACAATAAAAGTTTAATAAAATAAAACCTGGATTTTAGATGTTATGTGGGATAATAATAAAGTTGACAGTTGACTGTGACTTGGGCTATCCCCCTTGATGGTAGGCCTTCCATATGCGTGCTGTGCCATCCAGTGAAACTGACACGTACTGCAGAAAATCAAAGAAGAAAGTAAGTTGGGAGTAGCCAGGGCAACACTCTATACAAGGCTCCAAGAACTGGATAAAACATACTGATTGCCCACAGCCCTTGTCTCATGAGTTTTCTGACTGTATTGGTCTCACATCCAATTGTAGGCTAAAGACTGGCCCCAGCCTAAATTCCGATTGGCCATACCTCAAGGACATGGCTCTCCTACCTGTTTCATTTCTGGGACATGGATGAGACCCTTGATAGAATCTTGATGCCCTGTGTAACTCTGCACCAGTGCTCCAGAGTTGGGGTCATAAATCCTGCAAATAGAAAAAGGCAGAGTTACAAACCTATTCAAGGATAAGCTATCCCCATTTTTTGTTTCCGCTCCCCTTATTGCCAAGTGCCTTACCCTGTGGCTACCTGATAGTATCGTGCTCTCCTGCCATAATACATCCATTGATCTGGTCAATGCAAATACAAGTGATTCCTCTAGGGGCTTTCATATTCCGCACACAACATCCACCATCTTTACTCTAGGTGACCCAGATAAAAAACAAGGAAGGCACTAATTCTCCAGCTTCAGCCATATACCTCACTATACAAATAAAACGTTTGAAATTCTAGGGTGACCTTTGATTCTCTAATCATCATCATCAGGCAGAACTATTTGCATGTCGTTAGAAAATCATTATAGGTCTGTAAGGGCTAATCTATTTTTCTGTCTACCCATCACTACCTGAAATAGGGAACGGAGTTACTTACCCAAACTTGAATGGTGCCATCTTCAGCACCAGTGACCCATTTGTTTTGCTGCGGGTGCCATGCCAGGGCTAGGACTGTGATCTTGTGCCCACAGAGCTCAGCCATGAGCTCCAGATCAGCACAATGAAAATTGAAAGCGCAGATGAAAACTCCAGTGCTGGTAGAAAAGGCAAATTCCCTCCTTTCAGGAGCAGTGGGGTGTAGGCTGTGAATAGCAAGGATAACAGATCCTTGGAAAACTCAGATTATTAGTGACATAGTCTGACAGAAGTGGGCAACTACAGCAACTTTATGACCTATGGACTTTAACTCCCAGAATTCCCAAACTAGCCATGCAGGGACTTGCGTATGTTTGATATTGTCCGTATTGCCATGAAAGATGCTTTTTAGTCCTCCACTCATGCATCCGATTTAGACTTTCAGAAGTCAGCACCCACCCACCCACCCTCCTAGAGAATCAAATATTTTGGGGAATATTAAAAAGGCAGGATAGAATATGTCCCCTAAAGGAAAACTGGGGAAAAATCTCAAGGGAGGCAAAAACCAGAACCAGTCTCCCTGCCCCAAGCAGAAACTGAGGAGGTCAGCTTTTAGAAATTCAGATTTGGTCATCCATTCAGAAAGACTGGGTCAGACAGAAACTCCAGAGAAGCAACATAATTAGGCAAGCCAAAGGTTGACAAGATTAACTCAGACAAACACCTAGGATTTGCATTTCCTCTTTTGCCTATAGAGCCAGCCATGACCCCTACATGACACCATAGGAATCAAGAAGGTATAAAAAACCCCACCCACACTCAACTCCTTTTTGTCAGCTATTCCCAGAACTGCACACTGTGGTTCTGCTCATCAATAAACTTTCTTTTCAATCAGCCTCCATGTTATTTCCAGGGTCTTTCTTCCAGCTTGGAACTGAACAAGATGGATTTTCCTTCCAACATCTGAGAGCACATTGAAGCTGTTTGGTTTATCAAATCAACGCAGGAAGGTTTACCCACCTATTCTGGGAACAGGCCACATCCAGGATAGGCCCGTTATCCCCAGGCAGATTGGAGAAGGCATTTTGAAAGGAGCGCTTTTGAAGATTCCAGAGGCACAGCCTTCCATCCCATCCGCCACTGAGCTGCAAGGAAAGATGGCCAGGTGAGGACCTGCTTCTCAGGGCTCTGCCCTCTTCACTCCTCTCTCCCTCCCCCCCATTCATACCTTCATTCCTTGAGGGCTGTCTCTGCTCCTACTCTCTCCCTTCTCACCAAATGAAGAGATTGCTGGAAAGAGCCTTAGAGGCTTATGGGTCCCACTTTACAGAGTACACAATGCTTAGCTTTGTGGGTATCCTTTATGAAAAGGAGAGTGCTCAGCTGGTCTGCCCCCTGTGGTGCACTTCTGAAGAGCGCTCAAGCATGAACCGAATGGATTAGCAGTCTTAGGCAGCCAATCAACTACAGGTAGTCCTCGAGTTACAACTACATTTAGTGATGGTTCAAAGTTACAGAATGCTGAAACAAGTGACTTATGACCGCTTTTCACACTTATGACCAGTGGTGGGATTCAACTGGTTTCCACCGGTTCGCCCAAACTGGTAGTTTTTGTGCAGTTCATCAAACCGGCTGAATAGCATGCCTCACCCGCTTCCCTGCCAGGCCTCTTGCCAATGGCTTCCTGGCACTTCTTCTTGTAGCCCTGAGCTCCTTGGTTTTTGAAATCCAGCGCTCTTCAGATCAGCTGCTCAGGCTCAGCAGTGAGACCAGGTGAGTGGGTGGCCAGAAGGCCAGTGAGTTGGCCATGCCTATCCAGTGACAGGACCACCCAGCCAGGCCTACCGAGCCGGTCATTAGGGCAGAGAACCGGTTGTTGTTAAATTATTTGAATCCCACCACTGCTTATCACCATTACAGTATCCTCATGGTCACATGATCAAAGTTCAGATGCTTGGCAACTGGCTTACATGGATGATGGCTGCAATGTTCTGGGGTCAGGTGATCTGCTTTTGCGACCTTCTGACAAGCAAAGTCAATGGGGAAGCCAGATTCACTTAACAACCATGTTACAAACTTAACAACTGCAGTGATTCACTTAACAACTTTGGCAAGAAAGGTTATAAAATAGGGCAAAACTCACTTAACAAAAGTTTCATTTAGCAACATAAATTTTAGACTGAAATGTGGTCGTAGCTCAAGGACCACCTGTATTCTGTATTAACACTGTAGTCTGGCTAATGTACCATCGCCATACACTAAATAAATAATGAAAAGGCATCTAGTTCCAAGCCATTTTAAGGTTCAAGATTCATCAAGTGGGAGACCAGCAGGAACAATGAAATTTTAGAGTTAACACTTGTATGCCAGATATAGTCACAAAACAGTTTTTCTGATATAGTGCACTTAACTGACACAAAGTATTAATTCATTCACTGTGCAAATTTTATATAAGTTTATATAATCTTATTCTCTTTTCACAGGTCATATATCTTTGTCCAGCCTTCCACTTACCAGATAAGGGGCATGAACACCATTCTCATCTGTCACCAATGCAAGTGCTGTAATCATGCCGGTGTGTCCACACAATACTATTCTGCATATGAGATCTATTTAAAGTAATGATATGGGGAAACAGAGATTGGATGGAAAAGAAAAAAGAGAGATCACTCCACCATGATGAAACTGAACTGACACTCCTATTATAACAAATACCAATTTGATTTATATTCTATTTTTCCACCCATAGGCCCCTTTAAAATACAGAAACATTAGCCTTGCAGTGACAACCTGCTAAATTCATTTGCTAAGATAAACAGAAGGTAGACGCCAATGAACAGCAGGGAAGAATTCTCAAAGTCCATATAAAAGAAAACTGCACTGCCATTCATTTGTAGTATGTTGTAATTCTTATGTCTCTTCAAGCCGACGTTCATCTAATATAGTCACTAGATCTGTTTGATCAATCAAACGAGAAAAAAACAATAAGTTCTAGAGGCCCTGGTTCTTGGTTTTCTTTGTTGGTTTATTCGTCACCCTGTTTCATTCAAAGTAGCTCAAGACAATTGATAACAGTCGACTTTTACAGCTCCTCAGTTTTTTCCACTAAAAAATGTCTTTGGACAACAATAGATCATTCAATGCTTCTTTTGGGATGTCTCTGAAATTTTTATCCCATTCTGAATTATTCTACCTGAGATACAACTGCTTGAAGGGTCACAGACCATCTTATCTTGAGCACAATCTTTTCCTAGTATTTTGGAGTCTTGATCCAATGCAGACTTATTTTGCTGTAGCACAAAGAAAAAATATCAATTAGTTCCTGAATCCCACCCCACCTTTTTTGCAATAAATCTTCCACCTATTGTTATTTTGTACCCATGAGTTTATTGCAGCCTTCACCAACCTTATGATTACTAGATCTCTTAGGCTTGGAAGTCTTACAATTCCTAGTTACTATGGCAGCATTTCTATAATAACTAGGAAGTTTAGGAATTTAAGTCCAAATTTGGAGATTATTAGGTTTATCAAGTTAGGGAACACCTGTCAGTTCCACAGATGTTAAAGTAAACAGTTTGTGATCCATGGGAGAGACTCAAAGTTACTAGTTAGGCCACATATTCCTCTGATCACTATCCCTTTGTTCATTTCCCCCCCAAAACTATAAATCTGTGTCTGTCTGAGGTAGCTTTCCCATGTAGGAAGGTAAAGGTCATTACTCTGAAGACGACCTACAAAGATGTGATTTTGACTGCTTTCCATCCAATCATAGGAAGAAGAGTTTGCTCTTACCTGGACAATGGGCTGAGCACCTGGGATGAAGGTCTCAAATTCCCAGAGATAAATACTCCCATTGGTTGCTGACATCACTAGAATATCCAGCTGTTCTACAAAGATGACCCTGTCAAGGACCAGGGTTTGGTTATCAAAGTTGCCCTAAATCAGCATTCAAGGTTGGATTTGAAAACTCAAACCCAACTTTTCCCTCCTTTTTCTTGCACATACTTTCCCCCCAAAGGTGCTTGGCAGATGTAAGCAGGCAAGTTTTAAGTAGCAAGCTTTGATCTCAGACTGTACATAGAGCCTTGTATATTGTATTGTAGTTACTACCCTGTTTCCCAAAAAATACAACCTACCCTTAAAGTAAGTCCTAGCTTGATTTTTACACATGCACCTAATATAAACCTAACCCCCCAATAAGCCCTAATTAAGATCCCGCCCACACCAGAGTGCACAGGTAAAAATTAAGCTAGGGTGGGGATGGGGGGAGGTGAAGTTGCCCTACTACTTACCTTTGGACAGTTGTAGCCAGGCCTCACACACCCCAACACCTGCCTTGCTGGCTCATTTCTTCTTCAGCCAGCAAGGCTTTCCTAAGACCTCTATAGCTTATAACGAAGCCCCAGATCGATCTGGAGTTCTGTTATCGGCTGCAGAGGCCTTCAAGAAAGCCTTGCTGGCCGCAGAAGAAAAAGTTCCTGAATGCCTCTGATAGCAAAAAGGAGGCTGGGGGCAACATATGCAAGTGAGGTTAGTCAGTGGATGACTTCCCCCCAAAATAAGACCTGGTGCCTTTTTTGGTGGCAAAAAAAAAGTAAGACGGTCTTATTTTTAGGGAAACACACTATCTCTTTGAAGACCCTACCTGGGATAAGAAAGAGGAAAAAGGCTTTAATTAGCACTAATCTATGAAACAGATGGAGGAGGCCTATCTCATCTCTAGGGGAAAAGGCAGAAATAACTCAGTCTAATGTTCTTAGTTCGGCTATACTGTGTTTCTCCAACAATACGCCCCCCCCCCAATAGGAAGACCCAGCATGTTTTCTAGGCATAAGATGAAATTAAGCCCCTCCCCCAAATTTAGGCCTAGTTTAAAACATACGAAATTGGGGGGAGGGGGAACTTGCCGTTAGGAGCACCCCGCGGGCAGCCACGCCTCACCACCAGCCGCTCCTAACGGCTGATCATGGTGGAGCGCGGAGAGCTCCCTACCCCGCCAAGTGCCCTTGCTGCAGACCCAGGTATGGTGCTGGGTGCAGGCTGGGTCAGCAGGCGGGTGGCGGCGGCGGTGGATGTCGGCCTCTGTGGTGGTGGGGCACTTTGCATCATGCCTGCCGCTGTTGCTTTCTCTGCCGCTGTTGCTTTCCCTTCTGCCCGTGCGCTGCCACGTTTGGAATGCTGCACATTTCTCCACCGGCAGCATTTCAGCTGTTTCTCAGGTGGGGAAGCCCTAGCTTCCATGGTTCCTGCTGGTGCTGGCGCCTCTCAGGCCAGCACCATCTCCAACAACAGGAGCAGCAGTGAGACAGACCCCGCTGCCGACGAGAACCACCTGCCCTCCCGCAGGGACATCGCTTTGATTGATGGCAGCTGCATCGACAAGGTCCTGCAAGTCGGTGAGTCTTTCAGGGTTGGGTAGGTGGAAGTGGTGAAGGGAGGGTGATGCGATCATTTCTCTCCCGCCTCCCCCATGCCTCGCTTTGCTTCCTGCCCCAGAGCTTCGGGTCATGGTCTCGTCCCTTGTACGGTCAGGCGCTCTCCTCTTGCTCCAGCCTCCCCAAAAAAACCCATATACCTTCCCCCCCCCTTAAGTTTTCTTTACTCTCATTCCCTCTGTCAGTTCCCTAAGAATACAGACTGGCCAGGCAGCTTCCTCCCCACCCCTCCTGGTAGTTTTAAAAAGGGAACCATCTATCCACTTTGCCCTTCGAGCAGAGGCAAACCTTCCAATCCAAACAGAAGAGAAAGGGAATCATCCTACAGACCCTTAGCATCAAGCT